ATGTGGGTTATAACTTATGAAAATCACAAACTTTGAGGTTCATATAATTAGCTGCTATGAGATGAAACGATATAAAAATTTCTAAAATTGTGGACTATGACCTAAAAAATCAAGACTTTTAATGTGGTCATAATTAAGTGCAATTAGGTTGAATGAACGAACTATAATGAATAAAAATCATGGATTTTAGCTCAAGAAAATTGCGAATGTTTATGCATGCATAATTAATTGCGATTAGGTTGAAAAAAGAAAATTTGTCAAATTGTAGGTTATGGCCCATTAATTGCGATTAGGTTGAAAAAAGAAAAATTGTCAAATTGTAGGTTATGGCCCATGAAAATCGTGAATTTTAAAGCTCGTATAACTAATTACGAACAAAAATTTCCAAAGTCGCAAATTATAACCCGTCAAAATCGAGGAATTTGATGTAGTCATAATTAAGTGTAGTTAGGTTTAATGTGCGATAATGGATAAAAATCGGGGATTATAACCCATGAAAATCGCGACTATTGTAGTTCACACAACTAATTGCTATTGGGTTGATACGAATAAAAATGGATAAAAGTCATCAATAATATCTTATATATACGATGAATTTTGAATTGCGCATGCTCATGTATATTGTGAATTTTTAAATACATAACTAGTTGCATTTGCATTGAAATGAACGAAGATTGACTTAATTTAGGTTATAGGCCATGAAAATTATGAATTTTAAAGCGTGCATATTTTTTTGCTAATGGGTGAAAGAACAAGAACTTTTGAAAACTGTTGGTTATAATTAAAGTCATGATTTTTTAATAAATAAAACTAATGTTCTATTTGGTCAAAGTAAATAAAAATTTAGAAAAATCATAGGTTATAGTTCATGAAAATTGCAAATGTTGATGTACCCGTAATTAACTGCAATTAGGCCTAAAAACAAAGATTTACAAAATTCTAATTTATAGCCATGAAAATCAGAAATTTTGAGGTTCATTTAATTATTTGCCTTGAGACGTAGTGAACAAAAATATCCAAATTCGTGGGATAACTCATCTAATTTGAGAATTTTGAAGTATTCAGAATTAACTATAATTGTGTTTAAAGAGAGATAATGGATAAAAATTGGGAATTATAACCCATGATTGCAACTATTGAAGCTTGCACAATTAATTGTTAATTGGTCAATCCGAACAAAAATGGAAAAGTATCCTAGACAATAGCCCATGAATACCATGAATTTGAAGATACACATGCGTATTTATCATTATATCAAAGAACAAAAATGTACAAACATTGTAGGTTATCGCTCATGAAAATTGTGAATTTTTAAGTACGTATAACTAATTGCAATTGGGTCAAAAAGAATAAATTAATAGAAACTATGGGTTATATAAGCCATTAAAATCGTGAATTTTAAGGAACACCTGTTTATTTGCCATAAGGTTAAAGAACGAAAACTATCAAAAATTGTTGGTTGTATCCAATGAAATCACGATTTTTACAGAAATAAAGCATATTTGCTATTGGGTTAAAATAAATGAAAATTCTCAAAAATCATGTGTTATATAGCCTATGAAAATCGTGAATATTGATGTATGCTTAACTATTTGCGATTAGGCCGAAAAAAGAAAAATTAACAAATATTTGGTTCTAGCTTGTGAAGATCGTGAATTTTGAAGTTCATATAATTAGTTGCCATTGAGACAAAACAAACAAAAAATTCTAAAATCGTGCATTATAACCCATCAAAATTGAGAATGTTGATGTATGTATAACTAAATTCACAAAAATCATGGGTTATATAGCTCTTGAAAAGCATGAATGTTCCGCGATTAGGCCGAAAAAAAAGAAAAATTGACAAAATTTTGGTTCTAACCTGTGAAGTTAATGATTTTGAAGTTCATATAATTAGTTGCCATTGAGACAAAACAAACAAAAATTTCCAAAATTGTGCAGTATAACCCATCAAAATCGAGAATTTTGATGTCGTCTAATTAAGCGCAATTGTGTTGAATGAGTGATAATGAATAAAAATCATGGGTTATAACCCATGAAAATTTCAAATGTTGATGTACACTTAATTAATTGAGACTAAACTAAAAAAAGAATTTTACAAAAATGTGACTTATAGTCGATGAAAATGGTGAATTTTGATGTAGTGATAATTGAGTGTAGTTGGGTTGAATGAGTGACAATGGATAAAAATCGGTCGTTATAACCCATGAAAATTGCGACTATGGAAGTTTTCACTAGTAATTGCTATTGGGTCTATACAAATAAAATTCAACACAAATCATGGATAATAACCCTTAAAGTCCATGAATTTCGAAGTACACATGCTTATTTGTCATTACGTCAAACGAAAATTAGCAAAAACGTGAGTTATAGCTCATGAAAATCGTAAATTTTTAACTATGTGAAACTAATTGCCATTGGATCCGAAAGATCAAAAAATTGACGAAAGTAGTAGGTTACAAGTCATTAAATCGTGAATTTTAGGATGCATACATTTATTTGCCACAAATTTAGAAAAAGGAGGGGTTATTGCCCATGAATATCGCGAATTTGATATATGCATAATGAATTGATATTAGTCCCAAAAAAATGGGAAATTGACTAAAATATGGTTGCACATGAAAATCATGATTTTTTATGTAAATATAATTAGTTGTCATTGCAAAAAAACAAACAAATACTTCCAAAACTACGGATTAAAACCCATCAAAATCAAGAATTTTGATGAAGTCATATTTAAGTGTAATTGGGTCAACTAAGCAATAATGGATAAGAATGAAGGATTATTACACGTAAAAATCACAACATTGAAAATTAGGGGTTATAACCCATGAAAATTGCGACTATTAAAGTTCGCACAATTAATTGCTATTAGGTCGAATGAGCGATAATGGATAAAAAATTAGGGGTTATAACCCATGAAAATCACGATTATTAAAGTTCACACAATTAATTTCTATTGGGTCGATACATACAAAAATGGGCAAACATCATGGACAATAGCCCATTAAAGCCATGAAATTCGATGCATGCATGCTTATTTATCATTATGTCAACGAATAAGAATGTACAAAAAGCTTAGGGTTTAACTCGTGAAAATCGAGAATTTTTTAGTACGTATAAATAATTGCAATTGGATCAGAAAGAACAAAAATTGGGTTAAAGAACAAAAATTGTGATTTATAGGCTATGAAACTCGTGAATTTTAAGGCACACATTTATTTTCCATTGGGTTAAAGAACAAAAGTTGCCCAAAATTATTGGTTATAGCCAATGAAAATCAAGATTTTTGAAGAAATAAAACTTATTTGTTATTGCGTCAAAAGGAATGAAACTCACAAAATTCATGGGTTATAGCCTATGAAAATTGCATGAAAATTGCAAATGTTGAAGTACGCATTGTTAAATGTGATTAGGTCAAAAGAAAATTGACAAAAACGTGAGTTATAGCACATGAAAATAGCGAACTTTGAAGTCATATAATTAGTTGTCATTGAGACGAAACAAACAAAAATTTCCAAAATCATGAATTTTGACCCATCAAAATTGAGAATTTGTTGTAGTCATAATTATGTGCAATTGGGTTGGATGAGCGATAAAATGAATAAAAATTATGGGTTATAGCTAATTAAAATCATGAATGTTGATATATGCATAATTAATTGTGATTAGGACAAAAAAAATAACAAAAATGTGGGTTGTAGCCCATAAAAATCACGAATTTTGAAGTTCATATAATTAGTTGTCCTGAGACGAAATGAAGAAAAATTACCAAAATCATAGATTGTAACCCATCACAATCGAGAATTTTGTGTCGTCATAATTAAGTGTAACCGGGTCGAATGAGGGACACTGAAAAAATCAGGTGTTATAACCCATGAAAATTTCGACTATGCAAGTTTTCACAGTTAGTTGTTATTAGGTTGATATAAACAAAATTGGACGAAAATCATGGACAATAGCCCATGAAATCCATGAATTTCGAAGTACGCATGCTTATTTTTCATTATGTCGAAGAACGAAAATTGACACAAACGTGAGCTATAAATTACAAAAATGAAGTGTTATAGCCCATGGAAAGACAAATGTTGATATACGCATAATTAATTGTGATTATGTCTGAAAATAAAAAATCAGCAAAATGTGGGATATTGCACATGAAAATCGCGAATTTTAAGTCGTATAATTAGTTGTCTTCGAGAGGAGATGAAGAAAAAATTCCAAAATCATGGATTATGACCCATCAAAATCGAGAAATTTGATGTAGACATAATTAAGTGTAATTATGTTGGATGATTGAAAATGGTTATAAATCGGGTGTTATAACCCATGAAAATTTTGACTATGGAAGTTTCACAGTTAGTTATTGGGTCGATACGAACAAAATTGGACAAAAATCATTGACAATAGCCCATGAAATCCATGGATTTCTAAGTACACATGCTTATTTGTCATTATGTCGAAGGATGAAAATTGACAAAAAGCGTGAGTTTTGAATCAAAAAACGTGAATTATAGGTCATGAAATCGTGAATTATAAAGTGCGTATATTTATTTGTCACATACTTACAAAAAATCTATCTTTTGCCTACCTTCTCCACAAAGTTTAGAATATTTACACTGTTCCACTTAAATATGTTCTGTGCT